TCATCTCACTAACATCTTTTCCAGTTGCATTTTGCTTGTTCGCCGAGCTTGATAATTTGTTTGCAAACGTTCCATCACCAGTCGAGGTGAGATCATCAGTGCTTGTTGGATTAGTTGATTGTAGCTCAACAGCCTCACCAACACTGTTTTTCTTTGTTTTAAAACATTCGGTGATATGTGTTGACTTACATCATCTCCATGACTCAAACCATTTACACGTGATATTGGTGTTTCGACTCAGTAGTCGACAGAGAGTGGTAGGCCCCTGACTGTTCCGCTTCCTAATTAGGCATTATTTGACTTTTTAAATCAATATCCAATCTTCGTACTAATTAGGATTTTTCAATCTAATACTAACGACTTTTAGTTGGAGCAATGCAATCTGATCATTGGTGAGCTGCGTGCTTCACTTGCGGAAACGCAAACCCATTTACGCGGTGTCGAAGCAGAATTGTCCGAAACACTGGCCAGTCGACAAGAAGCAGAAGCACGTCTTTCCGCCATCCACAGCATACTTCGGCGTTTGCTTGGTTTCCGACAGTCACAATATGCCAGTCGTTTGGGTTTGCGTACAGATGCCGACGCGAGTGGCACGGAAGGACCAGAGGACACCGAGGATGAGAAATCCCGTAAATCTGGTGGAGCGCCACGAGAAACGGATCCGATGAATGGAGCCGAAATGCGTGCACGTCACAGTGAAGAATTCGAAAATGAGTGGGAATTGCGCAGAATTGCCGAACGGATTTTGCAAGAACGTGCTCGTCACCCTTCTAGTGGTGGTACGGTAGCACCGAAACCCAGGCAACGAATGCGTCGCCAGCCGGATCAAGACCAAGAAGTGTATTTGTCTCCAAGTCTTCAGCTACGATCTTCTCAAGCGGCCAAACGATCCAAGTCAATGTCTCCTTCTCGAGGTACGTGTAAGACATCGTTTGTTTTCTGAGGTTTTACATGATACATCAAAACGATTCCCTTGTTTTTTTCAGTGGGCAATATTTTTCTAGCTTTAATGGATATTTGTGAGTTGGAGAGAATACACGCTATCATTTCTTTGCATAATTTATTTGAGAACTTTTTAGTTGCATCTATTCGGATGGATACTACGGCGGTCAACAGACGGGTATTTATACAATCCTAAAACCATGTCGCATACCATCGGCATGTATAGCTGTTTTGTCAACTAATTAAGGCATATGTGGGCACACTGCTTGATAAAGTGCAACTGAATGTAGTCAGTATCTAAAACGCTATTCCTTAGTAACAAACCTCAACAAATTTTGTGTGAATTCGGTGAGCTGCTAACTAATTGGTTTTTAGTGGCGTCCGTCTGTTAGGTTAGAACTCACCTCTCATTAACCATTAATCATTTGGTTTGAAGTAAATCGAGTTAGTCATACTATGTAATCAACATTATATGATTATTATTCAATGTGGGAAAGAGTAACCTTCTATGGAAAGAGAAAATCTTCTATCCGGGAAAATATTCCATATTGTTAAAGATGTACCTTAGATCCAGGACAAATCTGACGGCAGAAGATCATATCGCGTGTTAATTCAAACTTGAAATTAAACTGAAGCATTGATTTTAGGTTCACAAAATAATGAATGGAACTTCTGTACGTACGTAGCAAAAAAGGAACCCATTTTTCAGCTTTCACTTTCCGATTTCGAGAGTGAAGAGAAATACCACTAGATTCCCCCCCCCCCCCGTCCGTCTGATGTAGCACTATAGGATACATCGGTAAAGTCTATGCGGTTTCCATATCCGGTCTGCTCGTGTGTCTGTCACATCAGTCATGTGACTGAAATACCGACAAGGTCATTCAACGGTTCCAGTTGGCTGTCTCAGTGCATTTTATTAGCACAGTTCTCTGTGTTTGTTTTAATAAAACGAGAGTATAGCCTCATGAGCGACACTTCTCAACCGAATGGATTATCTCCACAAAAAAAGATAGGTGAGTCTTAAAAGTGAATTTTCTGGGACGAAGGTTATCTATGTGTAAACATACCAATTTGGACTGTAGTGGAGTTAATCTCATAAGATACATTCGAAGCTGATTGATGCATCTGCTTATACCCCATTAGATCCCTTGGGCACAGTTAGAAGCTAACATAATGTATCGAACGAGACTTGTTTGCCGCAATTCATCCTTTCCGGTCAATGATGTCCCCTGTTTCCACCATGGAGTTGTTGTGGTTTATAGTTGACTTATACGTTTGCCATGCATGACTGTGGGCGGATTGATTGATCGATTGATTGACGGATGCCGTCAGTTAGCACACACGCACGCACTCACACCATGCGGACTGACTGTATTACAATATCGATCGGTTCCAGCCAATCAGGTGTTAGTTTTGGACTATCCACGCTGATCGATTCGCTGACTGTTTGATTGCCGGCTTTGCAGCGTTCGGATGTTGTGTGACGCTTGAGCCGTTTGTCGGCCGGCCTGCCTACGTGCCTACGTGTTTCCCGCATCTGGTTTCTTACCCACCTACGGACCGGCCACATGTGAGCCTACTGCAATAGACGTACCGTTTAGTTCCCTGCGCGCTTAGTCACCTACTTAACCTCGATACTACAAGAGACTATAGTCAGGATATGGCAACAGCTGGGATTTGAGAGCCTAACAAACAAAGACATGCTAGGTGAATAGATTGTTCTGAGTTTTTTTCTGCACACGGATCATGGCAACAATGGATGATGTATTCATATAAAACTGTTTTCAACCACTCTTGATTTCACTACCTTTGGTTTAATAATAAAGTGAAGAATTGGATTCACAACGACCGAAGAATTCTCTCGATGGAATAAAACAATGATCATTTTGTTTAATACGTAGAATCTGTCGATATGAAATTTGTGTAACAAATTAAAATGAGTAACTGAAATGCGATGTTTGAAGCATGACTAGTTTCGTCAAGTTGAGTAAGACCTGGTTTATTGTAGCGCCAATCTACCACTTGATTGACCCGCTTCACATGTTAATTCCTCCTGTGTACAGCTGTGCATTTGTTCCTATCATTTAATATTCAGTAATGAATACGGTTATTGTTTATTTAGCTTCATCGCTTTCTTAATCGATCAGCCTCTTTCGTAAAGCTCTATGATGATTGGTTGGCTTTTGAAATTGCATGATAATAATTCCGCAGAAATGTGTGTGTGTGTGGGGGGGGGGGGCTAAGTGCACTCGGTGAAAATCTTTCAGCATCTAAATAAAGAAATACTTTCAGCTTTGTGATCACGGTTGTGTTCATTTGCCCGTCCCATGCAAAATTTTGATTGCTCATGGTTAAATCCCACTCGGGTTTGTGACTTCATTTTCTTGCTCGAAAATATTTCTCAAGTTTCTGATGAAATGCCCTAAATCAAATTATGAACATAATCAGACACAGTCCGGTATTATTCTCATTTAATTGTGTTTTATAGCTGATAAAATAAAATTGCGATTTTACAGTAAAATTTTTATTTTCATTGGGGCAATTTTAAGATCCAGAACTGGAAAAGCTTACTTCGACCAAAGTATTTATTGGTAGGTTTATCACTCTGAAATAAATAAATGCGTACGTCTTCACAATTCGATGTAAACGAAAACTGTTTTCATCCTGAACAAGGTCAATCCGGAAGTATTTAGTTCGACTGGACGCTGACATGCATTACACAGAACGAACGAGTAAATCTCATGCGGAAACGATCTAAAATTACATTTGCTGCTTGAAATATGGATCATGCATCTAAATTCAAGACTGTATCGGTACATGAGAGAAGCCTTATAGACGGAAGTCCATCGTGCGATTCAAAGGTATTCATTTATGAGATGCGTATTCAGAAGCCTCTTATTTATGACGTTTTTCTGATCACGTGGACTCTTTTCTCCCCCCCCCCCTTATGAATAACTCAATATTAAATAGATAAGAAGGATCCACTACCGGAACGATCGAATTCCAATGAGCGTCAACCGGATGCCAGATTCTCATTCCACGAGGGTCGATATCACGATTCGATCAATTTGGGCGATCTGGACGCCATCGATTTTCCTGCGCGTTGGTTACAAACAATGCGTCAACATTTGAACGGGGCCCGATATCGTGGTCTGCCCGGATCCGATCTAGATCCCGAGGCTGTGCGAATGCTTTTGCGAGACTTCCTGCGCCATTTGGTTCAAATCGAACGCGAACGGGACTCGAACGAGATGAATCTGCGAGCGCGGGAGGAACAGTTGGCCGATCTGCACCGACAGTTAAGTGACTATGAACAAAAAGTCCACCATTTGCAACAGACATTGGGCGGAATCGAGCGAGGTACGTTTGTGCTTTCATTGGGCTCGTTAGATCAGAGCCAGATTAGTAAACTTTCATTTTCTCACACGTCGCGATTGTTTTATATTTGCTTCAAATGAAAACCTTGGTAGAGTAGTACAGAGAGGGGAAAAAATTGAGCAGATTTAAAATCGATGTTGATCACTTACGATTGGGATCACAGATTGAGTGAATTGATCATAATGTTTCTTTAAAAAAAAAAGAAGTTTGCAAAAGGCCAACACGAGAGAGTACAATGTCCTCTGCGGAGACTATCTGCAGTATAAATTTGTGCTCACTGTATCAATAATTCATCAACAATGAAAAAAACCAACTTATTCAATGAGGAGGGGGGAATAAAGACAATTCTGATAATCTCTCTTTTCACGTGAGTAGAATAAAAGGTAAGCGTTGACAACATTCGTGTCACATTACATAGCGAGTGAGATAGATATGCGCTTCCCCCGGGTTTGATCCTCTCATATATGTATAAGATGTGACGTCATGATAATGAGTTAGCGGAAACAATTGGCCGCCTGAAATTTTGTTTCTAAATGCGAATTGGGGTATATTTCGAAATTTGAACCGGCCTCCATTTGTTTTCCAATTTCATGGCCGGCTTCACTTCGTTTCGGTTCATCCCGGTTGTTGACAGGTAAATCAGAAGTTATGGAACAGGTCAGTTCAATGAAATCGGTCATTTCCGAACAGGAATCGTTGATGCTCAAACGTGATCGTGATCTGGATGACATGCGCGATAAGATGGTTCTACTGGAACGTCAATTGGCTGTTTGCGAGGCGGAAAAGCAACAATTACAAGTGAGCTATGTAGTGCTANCTTATCAAACACACGACATACTTGTTCAGATCAGAGATAAGAGAAAAATTCATCGTGTAAAGAGGGAATGAGGCATGAACTGAAAGGCTAGGAAGCACTATACTGCTGTTTTGACCTGGTTGGGTTACATCTGTGCGACGCGAAACCATCAACCGAACTGGGGATCGAACCGGGGATCTCACAGACAAGACGCAAGCACGCTACCCACTCGGTTATCGGGCAGCCGCTCGACCGTTCTTCATTTTCTCATTTACACG